AATGGTATCTCTATTTTGCAACTTTTTGAGAAAGCACCATACAGCCTTCCACAGTGGTTGCAGGGATTTATACTTTCATCAGGTCATTTTATCATGTTCTCCACATAGGTTTGGGTTTTTAATCTCAGACTTTTCATCTTTTTAATTTGAATTTCAAATCCTTAGTATTGAGTAATAGACTGTGAATAATGAGAAAACACCCCACAGATTTCATTGTTTTCACATTAGAAAATATTACTGTTACTGCCAAACTTGTACGTTCATTCAGATTACAGAACTTGTTCAACTGTTTAAATGCCTGCATCAGGTGGTATCATGCATGTACATTTAGGCTCCTTATTTTATTACATTTAACATTTTAATTATTTTTTAAAGAAATTACCATTGTTTTGAGTAAAGGTTTACAAAGTAAATTAAATTCCCATTCAACCATTCATACAGGTTTTGTTCTGTAACATTAATTTCAGTACCGACAATGTAGTGTGAGACTTCCTCCCTGTAATTTAGACTTGCTTTAATCCTTTCACACCTCTTTGTTCCTCCCTTTCTATACTACACAGATCAACCCCTTATTGGATATTGTCTTTCCCTCTGTCCGTCTTAATATGTGCTTTTTTTCTATCTACTATTTTTTACTCCACTCTCCCTACCTTCCCATCTCTGGTGAAAACTCACAAATGATTCAGTTTGTGTGTAAGCCTATCCTTAGCTTTTTTTTTTAATTTTTATAATAGTGATCTTCTACAGCACACATCCCTTTGTGACTGACCAACTGACTACACTCAGCATAGTATCTTCTAGGTGCCACCATGTTGTGCAGTATTTCCTGGATGGTTTTCCTGTGTTTTAGTGTTCCGTGGTACTCAGTTGTGTGAGTGCATTGCAATTCCTTTATCCATTCCTCTGTTGATGGATACTTGACTTGTTTCCATCTCTTTGCTATAATAAATAATGCTACAGTGAACATGGATGTGCATCTTAATAGCATCAGCTTCCTCTGAAGAAATTTCTGGTATCCAGGGTTTTATTCTGCATATGCTCTGCCAACTGCCCCCTCTCCTTCTGGCATCTCTCTGAGATGTAGTAAGAACTATTAAGTTCTGATTGATAGTGCTATTGATTATCCCAATTAGGAATTAAAAGCTGTCTGTTAACTTTCAACAGATAAGTTTAATAAATTTCTGAGATCATAACTTTCTCCTTTATCAGACCTTGCAGTGAAGTAGAGATTAGGATTTTATTGGAACATTCTAAATATTCTGAACAGCCATTTATTTTAAATTTTTGTTTCTTTTTAAATGTAAAGTCAACCTTTAGTGTTAAACATGAAGATGTCATATAAAGAACAGGAAAATTTTGGGTTAGAAATGAAAATTTGGGAAAGTATTTTCTTAAAAGTTTTGGAATGGTGGTTATGTCCATAATTATAATTGCCTTAAAGGGTGAGCTTGAAAGATACAAACTCTTTCTTGAAAGCAAATTTTTGTTTGTTTGTCTGTCTTACAGGTTTTTATGTCACCCTCACTCTTTTTTTTTCCAGTAAATTTTTATTTTATATTGATTTGCTTACAGAGTTTGCATACATTGTTTTTTACACTGTCTTCATTCACTTTGTGTCTCATACAATCACTTCATTCATTATATTTTATAAAATTAATCAACACTGAAATATGTCCACCATTGCTCTGTCTTTCTAGGTCCCTGCCAGATCCGTCCAATTTCCTTTACCCACCCCTCCCTCTGCCCATCAGATTGTACGACCCTGTGATTACCCCCTGCCCATCCTTGTCCTCTGCTCCTACCTCTTCCCCTTGGATCCTCATACCCCTTTTACTAGTTATTTTTCTGTTTCTACAGTCATGATTGGTATAGGACTGAGTTAGTTCACTCAGCATAATACTTTCTAATCATTCTCAAGCTATGTAGTAATTTGCCAAAAGCAAATTTTTTAAAATTGTTTTTTAAATCATATTTTTTAAAGTATCTTTTACTTGTTTATATATTTTCATTTGTACATCAGTGCCTTTAATATTTAACTTCTTAAGTATATAGTAAGCCATTTTTTAAAATATTTTTTTAGTAATGTTGACCCAGCTCTGGTGGAAGCTGTCTTACATGAATGGGAAATGTATTTTTCTTGGACCAAAGAAGAGCTTGAAACTGCAGATGTAAGTGACAGCATATTTTGTGATCTGTCATAATGTATATGATGGCTGTAATTGTCAAGTGCCTACTTTACCCATATTGAATGGTATTACTTTTTGAACTATTAATAGTAATATATTTATGTTTCGTTAGTTATATTTTCTTGACTCAATAAACATCTTGAATCCAGTCCCGGATTGATTAGGTTAGAGGCGTTTTATTTGATATAGCTTTTGAGCATTCTGATTAACTGTGTCTTAGTTTGAACTTGTAGTAATGCCTGGCTTCTCAGCTGTTTCCTGGATGATTGTAGACTGTATTTTTTTTTAACATCTTAAATACTAATGGAAATTTCTCCTTGAGATTTAACTTTTTTCTCTTCTACCTATAGTTGTGGTTGGAAGGAAAAGTTGAGGAAGCTAAAAGTGGTGCCACCATCATGGAAATTGATAGAATGCTTTCTCTTCCAGTCTTTGAAAATGTAAGTCTATTACAACTACTTTTTTTCTTCTTTTTGAATGAAAGAAAACAGATAATAAATTAATAAACTAAAATTTCTTTCTCAGCTGGCTGAGGTAGAGGTTTGTTACTGCTTTTGTTTTCCAGGAATAGCATTTTAAGGGATTAATGACTGGCGTAATGTTTTCACTCCCTGTGCTACTGGCTAGCTTTTCAACCTGTGTAGCACACTAGTACGAGCGGGAGGTCAGTCTCTGTGTTCGTGTGTGAGGGCTGAATGGTGGTTGTCAGACCCTGACACTTGGTTCTTTCACCTGCCTATGCCAGAACCTGTCTGCTTTCCTCTCTGGGCCCTGGCATGTGTGTATGTATGTTTGTGTGTTTTCTTCCATCTGAACTAATATTTCAAGAGGGGACTGTGATTCAGGTAGGCTCCCTCTACCACTACCACCAAGTCATTTTATTTTTAGATATCCAGGAATATAAAGCCAATATCTAAAACTCATTTTTCCCCCCAAATGAGATGCAGGATAAAAACTGCTATGCCTGGGACAAACAGGTGCTTTGTTGGTCTAACAGATAATATAATATTTACAGCTAGTTTGAAGCACTTGATAAATATTCTGAATAATACTGATTGAAAAACTACCTTTTGTTTTTAAATATAAAGTATAATGAAGAAAACCATTACTAGCAATTTATGGCCTTTAAAATGGAACTAAAATAATGAAGATAGGTATGTCAGAGACAGTGATGTTGGCTCAGGTTAGAGCAGGGCTCAGAGCTGTTGTTCATAGGATCGCTGAGAATCATAAGCAGCTCAGTGGCCCATAACAACAGTCCTAGTTGTTGATGATTGCCTTCAAATCAAGCACGACTCATAGCAACCCCATGAACAAAAGGCCTGAAGTTCCTCTACAACCATCAACATTTATCAAAGTTCAGAGTTTCCGGAGGCATGTTGTTTAGGAAGTGGATGCCACTCCTGCTTCCAAATCTGTCATAGTATGTTGTTGTTGTTATGTGCCACTGAGTCACCTGCAATGTATAGTGACAGCAGTTCTGAGCCCTTCCCTGTCCTGAGTCAGTCTCACTAACTCAAATTTGATTATATTATGGATTTTGTATTTCTTAGATATAGACACAGTAGGTACTTTTTCTTGTTGTTATGATGTATGATTGAGTCAGAACTAACTCACAGCTGGCCCTCCAGCAGGTTTTCAGAGGCTCTGAATCGTATGGGAGGAGCTTGCCTGTCTTTCCCCCATGGAGCAGCTGGTGGATTTTAATCTCATGTCTTTGGGTTGGCAGCATAACTCTTTACCCACTAGGCTACCAACTTATTAACTACTAAGTTGACAGAACTAATAATTTTAATAATTCATAAGAATTTAACGGTATTAAATACAAAGGAGAGCAGACTCCAGAATTTAAAGACAAGTTCTGTTCAAGAGTCCTCATGCTTGGGATGGTGGAGGGTCAGCAAAAGGGAGGAAGACCCTTAATGAGATGGATGGACACAGTGACTGCTGCAGGGGATTCGAATGTATCAGAACTTGTGGGGATGGCACAGGATAGGATAAGGTTCAGATCTGTTGTTCCTAGGATTGCTATGGAACCTAACAACAACAACATTTAAGAGTTGATTAGAGATAGATTTTTGAATGTGTTGGTGCTACAAACCTAGTTCCCTACAACTAAGTGAATCTATTTCTCCAGCCCCTGCTTTGTGCCTTCCTGTTTCCCAGCCGCTGACACTGTGTCCCCTGCATTCTAGTTTGCTTGGAAAGCCCTGTCAGTGTGTGCCCCTCTGTGTAAATTCTGTTTCCTCTTCTCAGGTGGCAGGTTCTCAACTTTCAGTGCCTTGCACACTAAGAATTCATCAAATGTAGGAAATCATCTGCAGAAAGTTGAAATTTGTTTAAATGAAAAAATTTCATTTTCCTATAATAGCATATATAATTAAATTAAAAATCCCTTATCATAGATAATTTTCCAAATGCTTATAACAGATTTGGAAAGGAAAAAACCTTAGTAGAATAATTTGTAATTCTAGAATTTTCATATCCAAAAATTTGGGGAACTTTTAGTGTGCCAGTAGCTTGAGTAATGAGTGTCTCTGAAAACATTTACCTTGTGTTTCATTTCTTCCTCATTCATTCCTTGGGTATTCATTGGTGACGAGATGTGGCCTGGGCTCTCAAGGTGCGTATAGTCTTGGGAGAAGATGTACTTTAAAAGATATACTTTAAACTCAAAATTAAAAGCAAAGTGCAGTGAGGTTTTTGACAGGAGCATGGAATGCCGTACCAGCACAACCTAAGCCAGAGGTCTGGGCCTCTCGGATTCAAAGACCTGAAACGGGAACAGGCTGGGCAGAGGAGTAAGTGGGTGTTAGGTGTGTGTGAGGAGTGGGATGCTGTGCTGTTTGGTGGGTCTGAATGTTCCAGATGGATGAAGGAGCATTTGTGGAGACTGGAAACATGATTTGTGGATCTAAAAGAAGGGGCTTATAGAGAGCAAAATGATAAAGTATATGCAGGGACCACTTCAGAGAGCCTTTTCTATAAATAAGCAAGCTAAGCCTGACTGTCCTAGGGCAAACGGAAGCTAACACAGGCTCCAGGTAAGGTGTGGGCTCAGATGGATACTGTCTGCAAGTCACCTGGAGTGCAGGTAGAGAAAGGCGGTGAGCAGGAGTGACTGCAGCTGACCAGTTCCCACTCACAGCCGTGTCTGGATGAGGGAGTGGCAGTATGTGGAGAAGAGACAGGTGTGCGTGTATTCAGGAAGAGCCATGGAAAGTGTGTTGCTCACTAGACTGGATATGTGTGTGAGAGGAGTCAAGAATGAATCCCAGCGCTGGCCCCACATTTCTGTCAAGGGGACACTGGAGGCAAAGGAGGCATCAGGAGACTGAGCGGAGGCTGGTTTTGAGCATGGTGACTGAGTTGCCTTGGAGTCACTAAAGTGAATTTGTCTTTTGAAAGTGTGGATGTGCGGTCTTACCTCAGAAAAAACATTGTAGACTTAAAACTGTAAACAAGTGGGCATTATTATTAGACCCGGAGGGACTAGGGCATAGGTCCAGGGTTGCAAAATTCAGCCTCTGGCAGCAGCCTGAGGCCACCATGCCTCCTCAGCAGAGCTGAGAGGCCTCCAGAAAGAGAGACAGAAAATCATCCAGGTAGAAGTTGGAGGTACATACTTTGAGTTAGAGGGTGCAACCACCAAGGTCTAGATGCCTGTTAACTTAGTGAGACAGATTGTTAGTGACCTGGGGAGCTTTAGGACAGCTGATTGTGATGAATCACAACATTTAACTAAGGAAGGGGAAGAGAGCGAACAGAGGGGTAGCTGGAAAAAGGCAAGCACGGAGATAATGTATAAAGCAGTGTTTTACACTGTTGCTGTTTCTCCTCATGACTTGTGACAGCTCTCTGAATGTGTCCCTCCTGTGGTGTGTCTCTCACAGTACTGCCCTGAGTCTTTGGGCTCTGATGGAAGGCAGACGGCAGACAGCAAGGATGCCGGTGTTGCACCAGAGCACGCTTCTGCCGAGCAGTCCGAGGTCGCCCGGCTGCTGGCGTGTGCCAAGAAGTCTGTCCAGGAGGCTCAGTCAAAGCAGAACCCCGTGGCTGGTCAGAAGGGACAGGCCAGTCGTTCAAACCAGTCTTTGAGGAAACCTTTCAACACCATCATCGAGCACCTGGCAGCAGTGTTCCCGGGCTACAGCAGGTAGGACTGTAAAATGCCTCTGACTCTGTTACATACCTGAGTGAGTGGAGCTTCCTTGACTAGATCAAATCATGGCCAGTTAGACGCTGAAGTGGAAACCCACTACTTAGTCCAGATCAACTCATAGTGACCCTCCTGTGGGCTTCCTCATCTGCTGACCTTTCTTCAGCTCAAAGCCAAACATGGAAGGCACTTGTATGCCAGCCAGATTCTAAAATGGAAAGGAATACATCTTTTGATTTTTTTTTTTAGGATTTTTTTGTTTTGTTTTAATGTAAGTTTAGAGACTTTGGATCTCCATTCATTCACTGTTGCACACTTTCCTCCCTGCCCACTCCTCCCCCCGCCCAGTTTACTTTTCTCTTTGAAAAGTAAAAAAAAAATTCTTTCATTGTTATACAATTCCCCCTCCCCCAGTCCACTCCACTATGCAGCTTTCATTCTGGACCCTTGTCATGATAATAATACCATAATCAAATATACCTCCTAAACAGTTCTCTCCCTTCTCTGTTTCAGTGCCATATACATTAGAGGTGAGCGTTTTCCAATACGTTTTAATATACACATCTACGTTTTTTAAAGGCAGCTCTGGTGGCCGAGTGGGTAAGGAGTTGCACTCCCAACCCAGAGGCAGGCATTTGAGATCCACTAGTTGCTCTGCGGGAGAAAGACGGGCAGTCTCCTCCTGTGCGACGTGCAGTGTCTGAACACTTACTGGAGAGTCAGCCAGGAGTTGGTTCCAACTCAACAAGTATAGAACAAGAACTTATTTTTTAATTGAACCCTGCTTAATCAATACTCATTGAATCCACCCCAGTTTGCTGACGTTTTGGTGGCATTGCTGACACTCTCCAGTGGTGGCTGTCACAGAATCAGTGACTGTCTGCAGGACAGTGGCTCCACTGTGCCGTTGGCTGGGAAAGGGTGTGGGGGAGGTCACATAGAGTAAGGAAGAGGACATCAGTGGCCACCTTCTCGTTGGACAAAATCTCCGCAGTTTGTAGAGATGTGCCACTAAAAAGACCGGGCTTTCCTCTCACATTCCGCAGGGATGTGGGCATATTAGGAGGGATTTTATGTAAGTAAGATCAGGGAAGAACTACGTTGCTAGACTTGTCAATAGAGTTGGAGGTAGCAGCAAGGCCTCTGGCCTCTGCCCTCCACACTGTTGCAGGTGAAGGTAAGGTCAGGGGGTAGCTTTCTGGGTACAGCTAGCTCATCCGAAACTGAGAAGTATACCTACCCAGCAGTGACCCTGCGTGCCTCCAGGCTGGTTTTGAGTGTGAAGTAATAATAGTCATTATAAGCCCTTAGCTAGTGGATTTGAAACAAGGTAGTCTTTAAATCATGATTGGCCAGAATTCATGTTCTTCACTGATAGGTTCCCACAATAGCAGTGGGAATAGCAGTCATGCCATTTGTAAAAATAACTCACCCTTTAATTACCAGAAGCACCCTATAAGTAAAATTGTTGACAATCTTAACTTTTTCCATTTAAACAAGCAAATTATAAATGCATCCTAATTTTCTGCAAGACAATTGGGACATTTACTCACTCACCCATTGCTATGAGTTGAAACTATACAAAGCTGACTCTCTAGTGGGTTTTCTGACGATGTAAATCTCATGAGAGGAGATTGTCCATCTTTCTCCCTCAGAGCAAACTGTCTGCATTTGAGTTGACTTTGCAACTCCTTACCCATTAGGCTGCCAGAGCTCCCTAACTTTGTCCCTAGCAGCATTAGTATTCTTTGATTTTTAAAAATTTATTTTTCTTGTGCACATCCATGTTTATCACAGCTTTATTCACAATAGCAAGGAGTTTGAAACAACCCAAGTGCCCATCAACAAATGAATGGATAGAGAAGCTGTGGTATAGTCACACAATGGAATACTATGCTGCACTGAAAAACAAGGAACTCGTGCAATATTATTCAAAGTGGGTGACTCTGGAAGACATTATGCTGAGTGAAATATCACAATCACAAAAAGACAAATACTGCATAGTGTCACTGTTGTAGAACGGGACTGACATCAGGGTTAGGGTAAGACTGAGGAAAAACTGGATAAATTATGTATACTGCATTGAAATAGATGAGGGAGAGAACAGTTTAAAAGAAATATATGATAGGGTGTTATGCTTATCACAAGAGTCCAGAATTAAGGTTGCATATTGGAGTGCACTTGGGGGGGGGGGGAGATTGTATCCCTATG